ATCAACCCCCCCCCCCCCAAAAAAAAAATATTTAAAAAATTATATAAACAAATAAAGATAAACAACTAACCCACAGCTCCGTTAGGCTAAAATTGTCATGTCTGTTCAACAAAACTACACCCCCACTCCTAACCTTCCTTCCAAAAACAAAACAAAACTATAACAAAACCAACCAGCCCGTCCTACCTTTGACCTTTTCCAGTAACACAACGTGTGTGGCCGTGGCACTGATGATGCACCTGCTCGTCCTTGCCGCCCTTATGTGGATGCTGGTGGAGGCCATAGAGATGTACCAAGCGCTGGTCACGGTGTTCACCTCGTACGAACGGCTCTACCTTCTGAAGCGCTGCATCATCGGCTGGGGTGAGTGGATTCTCTTTCTTTTTAAAAAAAAATTGGTCGCTTTTAAGCACAAGGGGGCTATCCCGAAGAAGCTGTTTTGAGAAAGAAAATCGAAGGTAAAGTTTTAGGACCCTTGTTCAGTTTCTTTAAAAGACAAGGAGAGTTTTCACTATAGCCAAACAAATATACACACCGAAGAAACCAAACTTCTCCTATAGGTGATGCCCACTTTTGGTGTAGGTGAAGATTTCTGGAAACCCCCGAAATCTGGGTTAGCCCGCTTGTCCTTAAAAGCGACCATTAACATTATGGCCCTATGAAGATCTTCTCACCACTGTGAAAAAACCGCAGATCGATATGGTATGTGCACATAACAAGATCAACAGGTCTTGCAAAGATGATCCAACAGAGCTTTGTACTAAGGAGGGAGAAGGAAAGGTAGACAGAAAAAGAGGTGGGAAGATAACATAACGGAATGGACAGGTTTAAAGTTGGGTGAAGCCCTTCGAAAGGCTGGAAATAGAGAAGGATGGAGAAATGTGGTTGCCCGATCATCCTTGGTGCCCCAACGGTCATCTAAGACTAACGGATACATAAGTAAGTAAATACGAGGCGTTTTATCGCCGCCCCCCCCCCCCCACCTTTCAAATAAAAATTTTAAAAATCAAGACAGTTTAGATGATTAAGGAGGCGGGCTGAGAGAGATACAACGTCCCGGGTGAAAGCCCATGATACTCGACAAATATTTTTCCCCACGCAAGCATGAATCGTACAAAGGTTGTCTGCGTTCAGCGACGAAGCGCCTATTCACTACACCTCAGACGTCCCTGTGGGTTCTCTATAAAGATTTGAAAATGTAAAGCAGCAGCAGCAGCAGCAGCAGCAGCAGCAGCAGCAGCAGCAGCAGCAGCAGCAGCAGCAGCAGCAGCAGCAGCAGCAGCAGCAGCAGCAGCAGCAGCAGCAGCAGCAGCAAATAGTACTACTGCAACAATCACAACCTCAGAAATACAAACTTGCACCTGACGTTTTATTTTACCGTTTTGATGCACACGAGTTCAGGAACCAATTGCTCTATCTGCTCTATCAAAATCACAAGATTAGTCGGCTTCGTTATCTAGATAATCAAAGAAATGCGTTCAAAAATAGCTGGACCTGATATGAAACTCAACATTTTTAACGTCACACTTCTGAAAACGAGGTACTGAGCAGATAGAGCGTTGTAATTTAAGGGTAGCCAAATGTAATATTCAAGCAGTGTATTATGTGTTTTTCTGTTGAAAAACCGTTTTTGTCAGAAACGCCCCATCTTGAGTAAAGGCGTTTATATCTTTGTTTAAAAAAATTTGGGTTTGCTATTTTAACACTATTACTATTACTGTTGCTGCTTTTGCTGTTATGTACATATTCACATCACTAAGAGGACTGAAAACTATCAGTTTTGACTGACCGTGTAATACCCCCCTTAATTAACTCAGTGGTCTTTTGTTTTCCTGTCTTCAGGTATCCCTGTGCTGATCGTAGCCATAACGGCGGCTGTGGACATCTCCAGTTACGAAAACAAAAAGGAAAACCGTGATGTGTAAGTGCACTCTCCCTCCCTCTCTTTCTCTCTCGCTTTTCTCTCTCTCTCTCTCTCTCTCTCTCTCTCTCTCTCTCTCTCTCTCTCTCTCTCTCTCTCTCTCTCTTTCTCTTTCTCTTTCTCTCTCTCTCTTTCTCCCCCCTCTCCCTTCTCTCTGTCTCCGTGTGTGTATGTGTGTGTGTGTGTGTGTGTGTGTGTGTGTGTGTGTGTGTGTGTGTGTGTGTGTGTGTGTGTGTGAGAGAGAGAGAGAGAGAGAGAGAAAGAGAGTGTATGTATGTGTGTGTTTGTTTTTTTCATAACACAGTTCCCAAGTCAAATATGTCGCCCGAAAATAAGTGTTGATAATTCTTCCTTAACGTCTCAGTATCTTCGTTCAATCACTACATTGCATTTAACAGACGGAGGAGCGCCCAGCTGTTGCTAGATCGATAACAACAACAATAATAACAACAACAACAGCAGCAACACAACAGCAACTACAACAACAACAACAACAACAACAACAACAACAGCAAAAACATTTCTTCATTATGCTGCAAGTGCTTTATAATGAATTTTAATGAGAGTAATATTATTATAATATACATGTTTACCTTCATGTGTTTTTACGGTCCTGTACAGCCAAGACAAATTTCCCTCTATGACAATTAAGTATTATCTTATTTTATCTAATGATAAAACTCTTACTACTCCCCTCTCCCACCACTTTCTCTCCCAGGTGTTACCTCACAAGCGACAACAAAGCGACCTACTACGCCTCTCTCGTCGCCCCGGCCTGCCTCATCATCATCATCAACACCATCATCTTCATCATGGTGGCCAGAGTCATCCTGAAGCCTCGATTCCAACAGGTAGGGCTTCTTCTGTGATTTATTTTAATAATAATGATGATAAAAAAAATAATAATAACAACAACAACAAGAAAAATAATGATAATAATAATAATAATAATAATAATAATAATAATAATAATAATAATAATAATGATGATGATGATAATAATAATTATTATAATAATAATAATAATAATAATAATAATAACGATAGAGATAATAATATTGATAATAATAACAATAATAGTGATAACAATAATAATGATAACAATAATAATAAAAATAATAATAATAATGATAATAATATCT